CCGGGGGGAGGGGTGGAGGAACCAAAAGACCCGGGAAAAACGGGAAAAATTGGGTAGAAAAAGCCTTTGAACTTGAAACTGGTTTTTTAAGGGGGGGGTTACGGGGTGTTGTTGTTGTAAAAAGAGTCCTTTTGGTGGTTTTGGGAGCGGGAGGGGGAAGTTTTCATTCGGTTTTTTTTTTGGTGGCCTGGACCCCCGTTGGTGTGGGTTTAAAGGGAAAGGGTAAAGGAAATTTTCCCCCAAGGGTTCAGAAAAGTAAAAGTTTTGAAATTGGCTTAGGGAAACCGGGGCAGTTTTTTTTTTGGGGTTTTTTTGTCGCTTTTGAAAGTTTAGTTCGGGCAGAAACCAGTATTGGGGGAGGGGGGCAGATTTGGTGGAACTTTTTAAACCCTTGGTATACCCCTTTCCCAGTTGCTTCCCCCATTTTTTTTCTGGAAAAAGGGAAAAAGTACAGCCTTTTTTTTCACCACCCCCCCCCCCCCCCCACCATGTTTCACCCAGGGCGCCCCACTTGTTCCCATGAAATACGCTCCTGTAGCGAAGGTGCTGTCTCACGGTTCTCACCCCCCCCCCCCCACCCCACCCTACCCCACGTATTCCCTGCGCAAACACAGTCGGCGGCAGACGTAGTGATTGCAGGGCTGGGCTGGGTCAGCGTCACGGGCGCGGGGCCGGTCACCTTGCGCGTGTGGGCGCCTCGCGGTGTTCTGGTGATGGCGAGGGAGCCGCTGCTCCCGTACGAGTCCTGGGAGACCACGGCCAAGTTCACGGGCGGTTCCACCGTCAAGAAGGGCAGGAAAAAGCAGGGACGGCGGGCATAGTGTGCGCTCGCTTACTTGCTGTGCTTCAAGTTGCTGCATACGATAGTGCGTAGTGTGTTGGGAAAGGCATGGACGGCGAGCATTGTGCTCTCGCATGCTGCACTGCAAGTTGCTGCATACGAATGTTGTTGTCTATGTTAAGCCTAGTTTTATGTGGTGAGTGTTTGCGGTTTGCCTTGGAGATTTTTCGGCCGGGCGACGGTCGTTTTGGTGCATGTGGTGTGTCTTGTGTGTGTAGCTTACCGGACCAATGAAGGAAGAACGTGTCGAAAGGGAGCTCTTGGTTTTTTGGACAGTCCAACACGCGCGCTACCGTGGCTCGGAGGCTCTTTACGTGTCCTCCGAAGTGCGTACGAACCCTTGACGTGGAAATGTAGCGCAGACTGCGGCTCGCGTTCGAGGGAGGTGGTACAACCTTGCGAAAATACCACGTCGTAACACCGGGGGATGGCAGCGAGAATAGACGGTGCGTCGGATTAGAAAATATTCCTCGAGTTTGTGAAGGACCACGAGCAGCCCTGTTTCTGTTTCAGATCAACCAAGGGGTAGACTATGGCACGCAGTGAATGCTTGCGTCAACACTCGCGGTACTTTCACGGTATGAATATGCTTGCTCGGTAGACAGTCCATACGCCACGTGTGTGGAGTTTCCGTTGGAAAGCCAAGAGGTTCACCCCGTGGGTAATGTTTAATATCTTGACTTTTGGGCAGGCACCCAGCCCGCTTGTTAGGGTCGACCGTCTATCCTGAACAACTTGAGTAGAGAGCGAACTCGGACCTCGCGCAAGCAGTCCGATGACTGCTGTGTTTTATTTTGTCTTGCGGCGGACAAGACGATGTGATCTACCATGGGCCACCGACGTTCCTTCACAAAAAGCTATCCTCGAACACGGCTGTCGGTTTGTAGTCTATGGCCAGGCATCCCTGCCGCGGCACGGTTTCGAACGGGCAGTGGCATGTCTGGATGTATGAAAAAAGATTGACTCGCACGTCGACGGGGCACAGGACTACGCAATACGTTTCTCGCGGTAAAGGCAATTCCGCTGACGACACGCTACGATGATGGCGGCTTCTTCCGTGACAGGACATGCTAAACCTCTCTCGCGATAGAGAACGGCGATGACGCTCATGACGCGCAACGATGATGACATTTTTTCGTGACCACCGTACCCGAGCGGCCGCTGAACATGTCCGAGGACAACTTCGGCGCGCTATGTAAAGAAAAATGTACAGCTTTTCGATTCTCTGTTGTTTGACCTCCGCGCATGCGTCCGCCACACACAATTGTCACTTCCTCCATCACGGGATGCCTCAGCGACTTGCTGCAGTCGGTTGAACTCGTTGTGAACATCACTCGACAACAGCAACACGCCCGTGTTCAGGCGAAACTCTGTACACTGTGTACGTACTCCGTTGTATGGGTTTTTGTACACCTCCGCCAATATTGCTGGTAACCTCCCCCAGTCGGAGAATAGACCAATTTCACTTGCTGCCAAGTACAGGTCATCGTAAATCGCAACATGTCGATATGATTTACTCCAGTATTCATGCGCAGTTGTGCACGTCTGCCATCCAGTCGACTGTCCGATCCAGGCGCTGTCAAGGATTGGTTGTCGATTTCTTACCCGATGCCCGTCTCTCCCTTTGTGTGGTGAGTGAGAGACCACTACGCTTTAGAGGGGAGAGAGATAGACAATAGTTGATGTGTGACTACACCCCATCAAGCAACAGCCAGCCCCTGTCACAGGCAGTGATTTTCGGGAGTTCGCTATACACACTGTTTTCCGGGAGTTAGCTTTATAGTTCCGCCCCCTTGTTTTACTCAAAACCCTGCTGGATGAGTGGAGTGCGGTCCTGTGGGGGTGACATTGGGCATTCGTGTAGGTTCGGTGTGGCGCCGAGGAGATGTGCGAATATCTCAGAGCGGAGACACGCGTTTCTCAAAAACTGTTCATAGATTTTGCACAAAACTTGGAGGAGAGCCGCCGGACGGGGGCAGCAGGCACACCTCTTGCACCTCACTCGGAAATCTGACTGAGGAATCTCGAGAACATCGACCGGACAAAAAAAACTTGCGCATATATTTTAGAGAAGAATCGGATTTTAACATGATACCATGGTGCGTATTTTCATTTCACACGATACAGCTGTCTGCCGTCACGCCAATTTACCCTACATCATTGAGAAGGATTCCAATCTGTTTCACTCACGCAACACGCCCACATACACACGCGACCCCGGGATACACAGCAAGCTTTTCCACCAACGTGCCCGTCGTCGATAACGCCGCCCGAAAAAACTGAATTTCATTCTTACTTGACGCCGTTGCTATTTCCCCATACCGCCATCACTGCGGCGCTGTTGTTCTTTGTGGAAGCCGGGGTTAGTCTCAAACGGCGCCTCCTCTCCACGGCCGTTGGGGGTGGCTCGCTGCACATCTGGTCTTCCCAGCCCCAAATTCGTTATACAGGTCCCTCCAAGTCTCACGTTCACTAAAAGCGCGCTTGTCGGTACGGTTCTCCGGAGTTGCCGTGATTTTCCGTGTCACCACGTAGTACATACATGTGTACATGTACTTCTTTCAGTGGTACCGTTTCCAACCACGCGCTACACACCCTGCTTTGCGCGCACGCACGTCAACCCCTTTGCCAATGCCGCCACGCGATCGGCCGTCCGTGGTGCTACTAGTTTTTGCTTTCGGTCGGGTTGTTTGTTTGTGTTGGGGGGTTATATTGTACTAGGGGCAACGATTGGCCCCCCGCCGCCCAATGGGGCGGACGGCCAGCATGCGTTGGATGGATGCGGCCGTTCGATAGGCAGAGGAAGTAGACGCGATGATGACATCGCTACGGAAAAAGGGCACTCGAAGTCGGCTTAGTTCGGTAGACGATGTAAGGTCGATACGTCCGTCCGTCCGTTGCGTAGATCGGTGTTCTGCAAAATAAAAATGAAAACGAAAGGGATTTTTCGTGGAATGGTCGATACCCGATCACGAAACATGAAGCGGGCGGAAGACGGGGGTGGGGAATATTTTGAGGAAGGAAAGGGGGCAAAAAAAAAACGACGCCGTATGAAAGCGACAAACGGTAAGGGACCGTTGTCACCGGTGGCCCTGTATGTGGATGAAATTTGTTTGTGGAGGTGTCGTGTCCGTCGCGATTCCGTGTGCGTAGCTTTCGTGAGCCCAAAAGAATTCTCTGCCGTACCAATGAAAAACGTCGTCACAAACGTACATATTTCCATAGGGTTGGAATCTCGGAAGAGAAACCAATCCTCCGCAGGATTGGAACCACGTCAGCCACCGGGAAGCTGCTGCGGGGTTCCTGGCGTTCAGAAAGGATATTTCTCTCTCTCTCTCTCTCTCTCTCTCTCCCTCTACGCCTGGGTTCCTGCGTTCAGAACGGATCTCTCTCTATCTCTACCCCCTCCCCCCCTCTCTCGTGCATGCCCCCTTGTGTTGGTTTTGTTGTTGGATCCGCGTGACCATAGCGGAAATCACAACGCTCCGTCCTCACCGAAGTCGCTCACGAGCTTGTCTAGCACGGGTTGCACCTGTCAGCATAACACAAGAGAAACACACAAGCCACATGGAACGATGCCCTCGTCAAGATTCCACCTACAGTATGTCCGCCTCCGATCAGTGGCAACCAATATCCCGACCAGTGCTTGATGCATGCACACGCCCAACGGGTCCCCCTTGACTATCGACTCTCCGAAAAACAACTAAAGGGAAGAGTATCCCGTTTCCTCTGGCCCATCGCCGATGACTAACTTGTCATTTCTCCACACTCCCTCGCAGCCTGCGCTTGTGAATACGGTCGTGTCTCTTTTACTAGTATCGACCGCCGACCGCCCTGCTAACCGCCTGACCAATGAGGAGGTGTCATTCTCAGTGCGGCTGAAAACAGGAAATGCTGTTTAAGGCCAAGATCTGGGACCCCGTGAGGGGAACGAACGCTAAGACACCCTCTCCGGATTGAAGACAGAAACGGCAGCAAACGAAGAAAAATGCGCGTGTCGATACACTTGTGTGTGCCCCCAACTCTTGGAGCACACGTGCCTGGCTCCGTCTACATACTGTGAGACACGCCACCCGCACGCAAGTGTACAAAAGTTCCAATGTTCGCGTGGACCGGTCGCCACCTTCGTGCGAGACGTCGTACATTCCAGCCTCACCCCCACCCATTCTTGCCCGATCGATCACGAGTACAAAAAACAAACCACAACAAATCAACTTCAGTGTACAAGTGATCCCTCGGGAGTGAGTTCACAGAGAGGACAAACATTGAGATGAACATAGAGCGGGCAGCAAGACCAACTCACAGCTGACTGCCAGCTGCGGTGCGAAGCTTCCCGAGCTCAACAGCTCAAGTAGCTGACGTGGTTTTGACTCGAACAGACCAGCGACCCTTGACGAACCAAAAAAAGAAAAACTGGTACAAATCTGTATGCAGTAATCTTACATCCAATCGCCCCTGCTTCCTCATCGCCCTTACTCGAAAAAGAAATTTCAAGTGCACGACTGCTTGCGCGTTCTGCGCTGTTGCCCCTGCAAAGTCTGAGGAGATAGCTGGTTTGCAATACATGGTCGTCGCAGAGACACTTGAAGCTCATTTCGCTCACCTTTTCCCTCTCGGGCGGCGAGAGGTGGTCGATGTACACCGTCCCGTCCAAGTGGTCGTACTCGTGCTGCAACGGCCACCACCAAGCAACAACACACGGAGGGGTTCAGAACACACACGTTGCCATCAGGAGACAATGTCGGGGTACTGCAAAGTGGGCGTGTTGCGCGAGCGTAAGTTAAAAAAATGCGGCGACGCCAACAGAAGTGGCACACGGGACCAAGGGAGGAGAGAAAAAGTCCTCCCCCCCAGAATCGCATTTTCAGAAAGATACGCGCAACGTTCGAGGGTGCTCAGGTAGAATTGCAGGAGATTGGTTGTTTTTTTCTACCATATAGATGCGTGGTTTTGTCTGGTCTTTCCACGCCTGGGCCAAAACTAAATACGGCGGGGGGGGGACATCACAGGGTGTACTGATGTGAGACCCACAACCGCACCACGACAGCCACAACCGCACCACGACAGCCACAAACCTCACCTGGAATATTCTAGCGGTCCAGTCGGTGTATTTCTTCTTCACCTTCTTCCCCTTGGCGTTCACCGCCTCCACCTTGACCCAGTTTCGCCGCTCCACCTGCAACAAAGGAGACCAAAAAGAAACACCTTCCGTGAAATCGATACTAAAAGACCACGCACACACACATGACATGTGCACCAACGTGGCCAGCAAATACAATAACTAGCCACGGGAAAACCGACGCCCTGCTTCGACGCCCTGAATCGACCTTTTCGCCGGCAAATAATCCTCTGCGACCAACTCACAGTCAAGGCAAAGAAACGACAAAAGTGTTATTTCAAAAATAAGGTCGGCAACGCGCGCGACGTTTGCGATCCCCGAATACGCCGCTTATAAGCACTGCACCAAAAGCCATGGGGCAGAGGGGGTGGGGGGCGGGGACAAAACAGCACACCTAGGGCGACAACAAACAAGAACGGAACAAGAGGCCGCAGGACCAAACTCGTGAGGCCCAAACGCTCCACACCGCGAGTCTAACTGAATAGGTCTCAAAATACACTTTGCGCCCGTACTCAAAAGCACCTCTTGGTACCTCCGGCAGAGGCTGGGGGTCTTAGTTCCTATAGGGTCATGAGACGGATGAAGCGCAAAATAGCACTTTCGGCAGAGGCTGGGGGTCTTAGTTCCTAGGGTCATGAGACGGATGAAGCGCAAAATAGCACTTTCGGCAGAGGCTGGGGGTCTTAGTTCCTATAGAGTCATGAGACGGATGAAGCGCAAAATAGCACTTTCGGCAGAGGCTGGGGGTCTTAGTTCCTAGGGTCATGAGACGGATGAACCGCAAAATAGCTCTCAAGTGTATGGCTCCTTAACCGAGCTCATAAACGGTGCTCAAAGTTCGAAGATTTTGAGTTATTCTAGGCTGTATTGTATCGATTTATCTCAACTGCCAACTTCTCAAAGCGCGGGCGCTTTTTGTGTCCAAGTTGCGACTCGACTTGACACCGACAGGGACCACGAGACGCTTGCCGACGCGCCAGTTCGATACGGAATGATTGTGGGGGGGTGTTGATGAGGGAACGGTCTCGTGTTTCCAGTCCATGGCAGGGCACAAAACAAGCAACAAACAAAAGGGCGAAATAACGAAAGAAGGCACGCACGAGGAATGGACGCAATCGGTGAAGCTTCGAGCATATGGAGCACCGACAGCTGACCCCTGACGGCACCAAAATGGCCAACCCCGTGATAACGACAACAACAGCGGCAAGCAATCCACCGAGAACGACAGCAAAATAATCGTCCAATCACATCACGTTCGTCGCGAGGAGTAAGAGGGGTCCACGCGAATTGCAAGGCAATTTGAGGGGTGTATTCATAGTCGTGCATGCGGTAGTCGTTAGACCATTGCCAAGGCAATTTGGGGGGGGGGGGGGGGGGTGTACTCATAGTCGTGCATGCCGTAGTCGTTTGACCATTGACCTCGCATCCCTACAAAGCCGGGACGGAGCACGCCGGGTTCTCACCGGACCAGGCTCTCACATCACCAAGCGCGAAGCGCCGTGAGGTATTTGGCGAGTCGCATGAAGGGTGAGCTGCATCCTGCTAAGGGTGTTCGGCATCTTGTGCTTACTTCCTTGCGTACGGATAACAGCTACGTATGACTAAATTTATTTTCTGGTGCTTTTACTTCCAGAGACAGTTGTAAGCACTGTGTAACTGCCTCGAGGAAGCTTGACCATTTTAACACAACGTGGTGCGATCATCCCCCGTTGCGCGGAGTGAGGTTTCTCCACCCCGCACAACATGATCTACTCGACCACCATTATGGTTACCGCCAAAAAAAAAAACCGAG